CCGGCTACAGATGAAGCCACAGCAATACCTGACAGCCTCTGTGGACAACACACCCAAAGGGCAGACTGGACAGGCACCAGAGCCCTGTTAAGCAAGTCCTGCTCGGTAGGGTCAGCCCCCACACAACAGGTCCTTCACTGCAGTGATGGCCAGTTTTCACAACCAATCAGCCTGAGAGTCAATCCCTACCACTGACATGAAAACAGCAACCAAGGCTCAACTCCAACAGGAGGTCACATACAACCTACTCAAGGGACACTTCTGGAGCACCCAGCTCAGGTGACCAGGGAGACTGTGCCACTGGGCCCACAGGACACCTACTACATAAGACCACTCTGCCAAGACGAGGAGACATAGCAGCTCTACCTAACATGTACACACAAACAAAGGGACACAGCTAAAATGAGGAGACAAAGAAACATTCCAAATGAAAGAACAGAACAAAGCTCCAAAAAAGAACTAAACAAAATGGAGACAAGCAATTTAACAGATGCAGAGTTCAAAACAATGTCTATGAGAATGCTAAATGATACTAGGGAGAACTTCAACAAAGAGATATGAAACATAAAAATGGAGATAGAAAACATAAAAATAAACGAGTCAGAAATGAAGAATACAGTAACTGAAATAAAGAGAACATTAGAGGGAATCAACAAATTAGGTGAAGCAGAGGATTGAATCAGTGACTTAGAAAATAAGGTAGCAGAAAATACCTAATGAGAACAGGAAAAAGAAAAAAGAATCCAAAAACATAAGGGTAGTATAAGGGACCTCTGGGACAATATCAAGTGTAACAACACTTGCATCATAGGAGTATCAGGAGAAAAAGAGAGAGAACAAGGAAATATACGGTGATGGAAGGAAAACTGATCCTGGGTGGTGAACACACAATGTGATATACAAATGATGTATTACAGAATTGTACACCTGACACCTATGTAACTTTACTAACCATTGTCACCCCAACAAACTTTAATTAAAAAAAAAGAAAAAGCAATAATGACGGAAAATCTCCCTAACCTGGTGAAGGAAATAATACGTAAAAGCCCAGGAAACACAGAGAGTCCCAAACAAGATGAACCCAAAGAGGCCCGCACCAAGACACATCATAATTAAAATGACATAGGTTAAAGACAAAAAAAGAATCTTAAAAGCAGCAATAGAAAACCAGTGAGTTACCTACACGGGAGATCCCATAAGACTGTCAGCTGATTTCTCAACAGAAACTTTGCAGGCCAAAAGATACTGGCACAAAATATTCCAAGTGATGAAAAGCAAGGACCTACAACCAAGATCAGTCTACTCAGCAAAGCTTTCCTTTAGAATTGAAGGACAGGTAAAGAGCTTCCCAGACAAGAAAAGGCTAAAGGAGTTCATCACCACCAAACCAGTATTACAAGGAATTTGAGAGGGACTTCTTTAAAATGAGAAAAAAAAATCAAAATATGAATATAATGTCAATAACTTCATATCTACCAACAATTACTCACAATGTAAATGGATTAAATACTCCAATCAAAAGACATAGGGTAGCTGAATGGATAATAAAAAAAGACCCTTACACATGCTGACTACAAGAGACTTTGGATCGAAAGCACACACAGACTGAAAGTAAAGGGATGGAAGAAGACCTTTCATGAAAATGCAAATAAAACAAAGCTAGGGTAGTACTACTTATACCAGACAAAACAGACTTTAAAACAAAGGCTATATCAAAAAACAAAGAAAGACCCAGTAATCCCACTTCTGGGTATTTATCCGTAGAAGCCCAAAACACTGCTTCAGAGGGACATGTGCATCTGTTCATTGCAGCATTTACAACAGCCAAGATAATGGAGGCGACCTGAGTATTCATCAATGAATGGATGAATGGATAAAGAAGAGGTGGTACATATATACAATGGAATACTACTCAGCCATGAAAAAGAATGAAACCTTCCCATCTGCAGCAACATGGATGGACATAGCTAGAGGGTATTGTGCTGAGTGGAGTAAGTCAGACAGAGAAAGACAAATGCCATATGATGTCACTTACATGTGCAATCTAAAAAAATAAGATAAACGAACAACAAAACAGAAACAAACTCAGAGATACGGAGAACATTTTGAGGGTTGCCAGATGGGAGGGGCGGGGAGATGGGTGAAAAGGGGGAAGGGATGAAGAAGTACAAATTGGTAGCTACAAAATACTCATTGGGGTGTAAAGAATCTCATAAAGAATATAGCCAATAATACAGAGGGTGCCAAAAAATGTATACACATTTTAAGAAAGGAAAAACCCGTATTAAAACTGTAATACAATGAATGATGCTAGCATTCATTTAACTCCATCTTTTGAACAAACGTCATACTACACAATGCTACTGTAATTCAATTAAACTTCAAAAAGTAATACATAGATAACATCTCTTAAAATGTGTACATTTTTTGGAACCCTCGGTATTGTAACAATAACTACACATGGTGTCATATATTTATCAAGGTGAGCACCTCATAAGTTATATAAATATCTAAACACTACATTGTACACTTGAACCATTATAATATTGTATGTCAACTGTAATTGAAAATTTTAAAAGTAAATTCAAAAAATTATTTTAAAAGACCATGGGAAGGTTATGTCCATGGAACAGGGATATATGGTACTATTACACATTTAAATCTGAAACGAAAAGTAGGGTTGGGAAGTTTAAATCTGACTATGAAGAGCCTTAAATACCAAAATGAATAAAAATGAGAGAATATTTAAACCTGGCTCATAGCCGAAAAATGTCTTATAAATCAATTCCTAGATGTTTCTAAACTCTCAAAGCTACTGAACCTGAGGTTCTGAAACAGAAAAACGTTTTCTCACTTGAAATAACTATTTTATTAAGCTATAAGCTCTTAAGGCAGCCATGTTATCAAGCCCTTTCTAACTGATTAACTGTTTATCGAAATAAGATTTAGCTTCTTATATTCCTAATCAAAATTTATTTTGGTATATCACCAAACCCTATATGATTTCTAAAATATTCTTCATTCTGGAACACCTCAGGTTTTAGAATAAGAAAATATAAAATAAATTCAAATTTCAACTTAGATAAGCACTAGCTGGGTAAAATTAGAAAAATTACTTAACCTGTCTATGCTTCATTTTCCCAATTTGTTAAATTGGGATAACACCACTTAACTCACTTGACTGTGATGGTTATTAAATTACACAACATGTGTACAAAAACTGATATGGTGAATAGCATAAAGTGTGAGCATAAAAAATAACGACTTTGGGAAATTTAAGATTTATTTTCAATTTTAGGTTAACATCAGAAATAAATTTGAATTTACATTTTTATTAAGCTTTTACATCACTCTGGCCCAGTACCTGGGCTTACAAGGTGACATATTTTTCCACATGTGAATCCATGATACGTCAAAAAGACTTAATTAAAACATTAATACAAGCCGCTATGTATATGAGGTCTGACAATTAAGTTCACGAGCTCATCCTAGCAAAAGTGCTACATACCTCATTGCCGAATATCACTATGGTCACCTTCGAAGTACTCCCCTTGGGAAGCTATGCACCAACGCCAGCGCCTAGTCTGCCCTTCAAAGCAATTTTGGAACTCTTTTTTCTGGAGTGGCCATCAGAGCTGTCGTCATATTACCCTTCATGTTTTAAATGTCATCAAAATGTCTTCCTTTAATTATTTCCTTTATCTTCGGGTAAAGAAAGGAAGTCATTGGGGGCCAGATCAGGTGAGTAGGGAGAGTGTTACAATAACAAGTGTTATTTGTTTACTGGCTAAAAATTCCCTCACAGACAGTGCCGTGTGGGCTGGTGCATTGTCGTGATGCAAGGGTCATGATTGTTGGCGAAAAGTTCAGGTCGTCTAACTTTTTCACACAGCCTTTTCAGCACTTCCAAATAGTAAACTTGGTTAACTGTCCAGCTGGTACAAATTGGTAATGAATAATCCCTCTGATATCAAAAAAGTTTAGCAACATTGTTGCAATAAGTTCATGAACTTAATTATCAGACCTCATACAATAGTGAAAGAGAATTGCAACAGCAGGACTCATTTGAAAACTGAACCTAATTTAATTTAGAAGTTTCATCCAACTACTAGAGTTAATATGCTTTCAAACTAAATTTAGAAAGAGCTAAGTGTAAATGAACTAATATCACTTTTTGGATTCCTACATATTTACAATGGGATAATACATGAGAAAGCACTATAAACTAAAACAAATCTAGTTATTCTGTATATTCTGGTATTCTGAAAAACACTGCAGTTAATATCTAACAGAAAATAAAAAGTCCATTTCTTCTTGTTTCTTTTTAACTACAATTTAATGAACAATTAAAGTGCCAAGATACAATGTTCAAAAGCACTAAATAGATATGTGCAAAGTTTCAGGAAGAAGCAGGAATGAAGAGATTTAAACTATGCTTTATTGTAAATTTGAATTTTCCATTAACTTCCTTTTTATAATCACATTTAAGGGAAATAGAGAAAATCAAAATAGATATTTTTTTCAGTTAAGATTTTTCTAACAATTTAAACTTTGATTAATTTTTTAAAAAACCACATACTCTAAATCTATTAGCTGCAGTTTTTAACAATCAAATATAAAGCCTAAAATAAAACTGTATATACAGGTTGTATACACCCACACACACGTACGAGTATAAGAAAAAGGGCAGGTGTGAGGTTTCTAAGCCTCTTAGAGGATTATTTATCACTGAAAAAACAAAATCATTCATGTGAAAAACAAAATTATGGTACATTTGGTTTATTTTCGAAGGAAACATCGCTATTTCAGAGTATAATAGTAAAACTTGTATACTATATATTTCAAATGTTTTGATGCAAATTGAACAATTCTAATTATTTTTTCTTACTTAAGTTTATTTATGACATATATACATAAAGGTACACATACATCTGTATTTAAATTTTAATTCTGTATAGAGATATTTAGGAAGTATTAAATACTAACACTGATAAACTTACGAATCAACATGCAGAACCCGCTGGCCACTTCTTGAACATGCAGCAGCAATGATGGATTCAGGCAAACCTATAAAAACACACACCTATATCATTTAAAATGTAGAAACACACACACACATATATACATATATACATATATTTACATGTAAATATAATAAAACACAAACTGCTTGATTCATGCCATCAATGTATAGGAAAGTGGCTCATCCTTGCATTCTAAACTATAAAGTTTAAATTATTATACCATTGGATGTTTCTTAAATATACAACTAATGCCGAAAATTTATTATGTGGAAGAGATACTGTTAAAAACCAAGTGCTCCAAATTATTTTTATTGGTAAATTACCATAAATGAGCAACTGTCAAAATATTGTTCACATAGCACTATGTTATTTAGGAACTACGAGGTGTGATCAAATGATATGGTGAATGTGTAAATAATAAAAAAATTATTACAGTAAAAGACACATTGCCATTAATCCCCCTCAAAAATACTCCTTGCTTCGAACACACTGATCCCATCGTTCTTGCCACTTTCTGAAGCAGTTCTGCAGTCCTCTTTCGTGAGTGTCTTTAGTTGCACTATTGTGGCTGCCTCAATGTCCTGAATTGATTCAAAACGTTTACCTTTCATGGTCATTTTGACTTTGGAAAAGAGCCAGAAGTCACATGGTGCCACATCTGGTGAATAAGGTGAATGAGAACACACCATAATGTTTTTATTTGACAGAAATTTCCACACCAGAAGCAATTAGTGACACAGAGCATTTCCTTTGTGATCAAGACATAAGGTGAATGCTGCTGCCGGGTGCCATCTAATGGAAAGGCAGAGGTCTTCAATACAGGAAGCAGTGTGTGGAACCTTAGTAACAGTGCGTGACAAGTTTCAACTTGTTTGGTGCAGTCAGTAGGGTGTGAGCTACAGATGAGAGTAGATGTGTTTTAAAGTGTGCTGTAAATCATCCTCCATCATGACAACGCCTCTGTCACACATCGCTTCTGGTATACAGCAATTTCTGCCAAATAAAACCATTCCGTTGTGTCCTCATCCATCTTATTCCCCGGATCTGGCAGCATCCAACTTCTGGCTCTTCCCCAAAGTTAAAATGACTCAGGACAATGAGGCAGCTACAACAGTGCAACTTAAAGACATCACGAAAGAGGACTTCCACAACCACTTCAGAAAGTGGCATGAATGATGGGACAAGTGTGTTTGAAGCAAGGGGGAGTATTTTCAGGGTGATTAATGGCAATGTGTCTTTTACTTTTATATATTTTTTTCTTAAACATTCACTGTATTGTTTGATCACACCTCTTATGTTCACAATAGCTTATCTGATTCTCCCAACTGCGCTGAGAAAGAAGCATGTGCATACACACTTTAAAGATTAAGAAGGAACAGGTGCAAATATGTTAACTTGACCAATCTTTAACAAAAGTTCTAGAGTTGAAATATGAGCCCAAATCTAACTCCGAAGCCACACTGCCTGTGAGGAAGAGTGGCATACATTCATTTCAGCAATAAGTTAACTAGTTTAAAAAGAGGCCATTTACAAGATATAGTATTTTACTTTCTAGTTAACATAGCAGTTTGAAATGAACATTACTGTTTTGTAATCAAATTACACTATACCATAAAGTTGGTTATCATAAAAGGAAATATATATTACTACTCTCAGTACCAACAAAAAAAATTACCAAGGATAATGATTTCATAATCAAAAAAAACAAAAAACAAAAACAATCAGGTGTTCGGCTACATCGGCTAGTTAATACCTTACGTTGTAAGTCCAAGACTCTTCCGTAACTTTTTCTCAATAAGATCTACCATTTAATAGAGGCTATTAAATCTTTTATATAGGAGAAACAAAGCATGTTTTGAAAGTTTAGTGCAATTCTCTAGTGCTACTAACTGACTTTTTCACTGTAATGAAACACTGATCCTCTTGGATTTTTACCTACTTGAAAAGAAATAGCACCATTCTCTTGGCAAAGATTTAAACTACACACTAAGCATCAAGGATTTCAAGAAAAGGAAATGGTTATCTTCTTTATGTAGAACACAATATGCATATGGAAGCAATTGCCAGTCAATCTCTAGTTAAAAACCACATTAAACACAAAGCTGCAGCTGCATTCACGGAAGAACTAATTTTCCAGTGGTGAACACTTTGTGCATATACAAGGCTTGGCTCAAAAACGAAGTTCTAACCAAATGTACGTATACAGCCATTAAATACCGATTATTAGAAATAAGCCATCATAAAGTTTCAACCTTAACTTTGGATGTATTTCAAAGAAAAAAAGAGTGAGAATTTGTGGTGAAGGAAATATGAGAAAGAAAGGAAAGTTTTAAATAGTTAAGCATACATCTTCAGTTAAAATTGTATTGCTCTAATGTCTTTTGTCTTAAGATTATCTGAACTTTTTACACCAACAGAAATAACTTTTCTTTAATGAAATGCAGTCATTATGGTACTTTAAAAGCTGCTATGAAGCTTAGTCAAAAAGGACAACAGCAAAGAAATATTCAGGGAACAGAATTAATATGTGAAAGTGTGTAATAACGACAGCATTAATAATACGGACCACAAACATTAGTATAGGGCTTTAAGGTTCACAATGTATTTTCACATACATCATCTCATTTATTCCTCATTATAATCCTGGGAGCCAGGAAGCATTATCCTTGTGAGAAATGGGATGAGAAAGGTTAAATAACTTGCAAAAGATCAAGTAACTCAGTGTCTCAAATTCAAATTACCATGGTAAATTCACTCTCTTCAACTAGGACATGAGTCTGGGAATGAGGATTTACAGGCAGGACAGCAACGTAATAAAATGGGCATGGACTCAGTTAGACAGACCTCGGCTTGAATCTTAGCTTTGCTGCTTAACTAAGCTGTGCAACCTCACACAAGTCACTTGACTTCTCTGAGCCTTTGTTCCTTCCTCCATCAATAGGAATATCACCATTTACCTCATAGCATTGTTCAGTTGTTAGCAGAGGGCTCTTTCTCTATAAGTACTATCTAGCAATACCTTTATTATTCTTCAGAAAGATATTTTAGACATACTACACACTACATTCTCACCTAAATACTACTCCAAACATACACCTATTTTTACCAGATGACAACTCCAATGGCAAACAATAATAAACTTAATCTCTGCAATCCCACCAACAGTGCACCAGGGTTCCCTTTTCTCCACATCCTCACCAACACTTGTTTGTTGATTGATGATAGCCACTCTGACTGGAGTGAGGTGGTATCTCATTGTGGTTTTTATTTGCATTTCTCTAATGATTAGTGAGGTTTAACATTTTTTCATAGGTCTGTTGGCCATTTGTATGTCCTCTTTAGAAAAATGTCTCTTCATATCCTCTGCCAATTTATTAGTTAGGTTGTTTGTGTTTTTCGTGTTCTATAAGTTTTTTATAAATTTTGGATATTAACCCCTTTATCAGATGTATCATTGGCAAATATCTTCTCCCACTGGTGCACCTATTATGGAAAGCAATATAGAGGTAACCCAAAACAATTGAAAATGGAACTACCTTATGACCCAGCAATTCTACTACTGGGTATCTATCCAAAGAAATAAAAAAACCTAACTTGAAAAAAATATATGCACCCCTATGTTTATTGTCGTTCTATTCACAATAGCCGAGACACGGAAACAACCAAAATGCCCATTGGTAGTACAATGGAGTATTGAACTTGGCCATAAAGAAGAATGAAATCTTACCATTTGCAACGATATGGATGGATCTAGAGAATATTATGCTAAGTGAAGTAAGTCAGATGGAGAAAGACAAATACCATATGCTCTCACTCATACGTGTATGTGGAATCTAAATAACGGAATAAACGAACAAACCAAACAGAAATAGAGTCAGAGATATATGGGAAAAGAACTGACGGTTGATAGATGGGAGGGGGGATGGGGGAGAAGGTAAAGGGATTAGAAAGCACAAATTAGTAATCACAATATTGTCACAGGATAAGAAACACAGTTTGGGGAATATAATCAATTATGTTGTAAAGATTATTTAGGATGCCAGATGGGCACTGGACTTATCAGCGAGATCATTTCATAGACTGTGTAGATGCATGACCATTGTGCTATACACCTGAAGCTGAATGATACTGAATGTCAACTATAATTAAAAAAAAATACACACACACACACACACACACACACACACACACACACACACACATATGCATGCTCACAGGATGTGGAATACAGCATAGTGAAGATAGTCAATGGAATTGTAACAGCTCTATACGATGTCAGACAGGCAGTAGACTGCGTGGGGGCTATCACTTTGTGAGGGGTGTAAATGTCTAACGAGTACATTGTTTTGTACACCTGAAACTAATAAAAAAATAAAGAAAATATTAGGTCGTCGGGAAAGTCATGATGCATTTTTGCATTGAAAAACAGAAAAATACATCATGACTTTCCCAACGACCCAATAAAATACTAAATTTACTCTCCTTTACTTGGCCCAAATTAGCTGCTACTTTGTATACTCAAATACGAGGTCGGACAATTAAGTTTGTGAACCCATCCTAGAAAAAGTGCTACCTACCTCATTGCTGAATATCATTATGGTCACCTTTGAAGTACCCCCCTTGGGAAACCATGCACGGATGCCAGCACCCAGTCCACCCTTCAAAGCAATTTAGGAACTCTTTTTCTAAAATGGCCATCAGAATTGTCATCGCATTACCCTTGATGTCCTGAATGTCATCAAAATGCCTTCCTTTCAATATTTCCTTTATCTTTGGGTACAGAAAGAAGTCACCGGGGGCCAGATCAGGTGAGTAGGGAGGGTGTTCCAATTCAGTTATTTGTTGACCGGCTAAAAACTCCCTCACAGACAGTGCCGTGTGAGCTGGTGCATTGTCATGATGCAAGAGCCATGAATTGTTGGTGAAAAGTTCAGGTCGTTTAACTTTTCCATGCAGCCTTTTCAGCACTTCCAAATAGTAAACTTGGTTAACTGTCCAATTGGTACAAATTCATAATGAATAATCCCTCTGATATCAAAAAAC